TTAGTAAAAAGAATTGAAATATGTTTTATTGTTTTTTGAGGCTCCTGACTAATTTGTTGCTGGGAATTTTGATGAGTAGGCTGATGATGAATGCTGCAGACCAACATTGCTACAAGCCAAGAGAATTATCCTGTGCCATCCTTACAATGAGAATGGATGAGAAAAAAGAAACTATAACGAGAATTAGTAGCTCAGATCAGTAGTAGATCAGATTAATGATAGCCCTGACAATAGTATGACCAGGCAGATGACATATTGTGATGTTTACAGCTATAAGTTTATTATATAAGCTAAAATGAATATGCAGACCTGTAAAATTAATTAAATCTGCAAAACACGAGCTAGTATAAAATTCTTTTTTCAGCAGTTGTACTATAGGAAATAGTTCTCACCCTGTTTACAGCTCTTAGTTTAAAAAAATGGTGATTGGGTTATTTGGATTATTCTTATAGTTTCACAGTCATCAAAGATTCTTCTGATTCATCCCAGGTTCTTCCTAATATAGTATGGAGAAAGGAATTAATTAAAGAACTTTTAAAAGGGTCAAATATTCATACTGAAAGACAGGATGCTTCTATTTTTAAATTTATTATGGTTCTGAAATTCAATTATGCTGAAGCAGTTATATTAACTCAGGGAAAGTGCAGCAGGAATGGTACAAGATCACCGCAAAGAGCAGTTCTGATATGACCACCATTTTGTAAACTGGTGTGTTGGGATTCAAGTTCAAGAAGTTCCAATCAACTTGATTAGAGGTACTAGCTGGGGATTCTGAGAGCTATAACTCCAATAAATCCAGAAGAAATTAGACTTCATAGATGCTTATGACCGGGAGCCCCCTCCCCAAAAAAAATCAAAATAGTGGCCACAGTCATGCTTTTGAAGCCCTGACCCTTTTGTGTATTGTGTATATAACAAAGGGGCAGAGGTTTGATCATGTGATCACAGCTGCCATCTTGATCCTGTTAGGCTATTATGGCTGCCATAGGGGAGCCAACATCTTTAATAACATTCACTGTTACAGTAGACCAGGAATCTTCAAACTTGGCCCTTTTATGACTTGTGGACTTCAACTTCCAGAAGTCCTCAGCCAGTGTGGTTATATATGCTTTGTCGTATGCTGATATAAGACATTTATGAGTTTGGAATTTCCTTGTGATAAAACATGACTGAGTCTTTCTTTCTTATAAAGAGAACTATCTATACTGAAAATTTGAAAATTAGCAATTTCTAAAAAAAAGCAGCACCAATGGAAAATCATGAACTTGATGTATGTGGCTTTCGCATAATACGTGACAGTTTATAACCAATGGCTTATGTTTTAATAATATGTGCAGACTAAGTCACTGTGACATATTCAGACTTATTCAAAGCATGCTAACAACTCATCTGTCATCATTTGTGAACATTATACTGTGATCATCTGGGGAAAAACATATACTATACATTACTGATCATTAATAGGTTGTTGCTTCTTATGTCATTAATCTTTCTCCCTTCATATAACAGATTTCAAATGGGGCCAGAATGATTGCTGGTATCTTTGTGAGCAGTAGGTTAAGAATTTTTTTTTTCATTTCAACACTTTTTAAATTCTCAGTTCCCACCCCATCTCAACTTTCCCTGATATTTCAGATCAATTTAAGAGCAAACAACCGTATTTTATGATGATGGTAGAGAGGAGAAATGATCCATGTTATTTCTTGCAATCACAGGTTTTGATGATGTTGAGTTATGTTAAACTGGGCTCCAACTTCAAATTGTGTGAATATTGTTGGCTGTACCAATAAATAGAGTATCTAAGCCAGCTTGTTTGCATATGTATTAATAGTCCATCTTTTTATTTTTATAAATAACTCAAGGCAGCAAACATATCTAATACTCCTCTCTCCTCCTGTTTTCCCCATAACAACAACAACCCTGTGAGGGACTGACAGAGACTGGCCAAAGTCACCCAGCCAGTGACGTTCTCATTCTCTGTGTGTTATGAGCCAACCTCCATCCTTTGAGATTGTTGGCTGCCTTTAGAGCAGTGGTTCTCAACCTGTGGGTCGGGACCCCATTTGGGGATCGAACGACCATTTCACGGGGGTCGCCAAACAACGCAGTCCGCCATTTTTTTCCCCTTTTCCTTAGCTGTGCTACTTCCTTTTATTCTATTGGCTTTGAAAGCCAATAGAATAGACTCTCTTGAATAGAGTCTAATTCTATTGGATTTCAAAAGCCAATAGGAATTGTCCAGGCTGTCTCTGCCCTGCTGAGCCCGCCAAAAGTCCCATTCTGCAAAAGGTGCTGCACCAGTTGAGTAGTCCTCGACTTACGACCGGTTCAGTAGTCCTCGACTTATGACCGGTTGGGGGTCGCGGCATTAAAAAGGTTAAGAACCACTGCTTTAGAGAATAACAGAAACTTTGTCAACACATTAATGTTGTAAAAAAGCAAAAAAGCCTTTTCTCCTATGTTCTCAGAATATCCTTACATCTTCTATATCAGACTCCAGCTGTACTGGGAAGGTTGGGCAGGTCACCTGCCGTATCATCTGGAATTAAAGTCAATCTGACATTGGTTCAAGATCAATGCAGCAAAATAATATAGATTCAAGGCTATTGGGTCCCTCTGTCCTGGAATTTCCTGTACAGACAGAGCTGGGAGTAACATCAAACATTTTAAAAGCAATGACATTTGCACCAAAGTTGAACACAACAGGAATACAGCCATGTGTTTTATGAATGGATCAGCACATCTGAAATACTACACAGTATAATTGTTTTCTTTCTTCTAAACCTCTTTGTTCAAAGGATCAGGATATCCTGGCGCTAAGCACTGCTGGAAATTAATATAATTGCAACAATGGTATAATATTTAAGAAGGGTTTCACTTTTTATGCCAGTTCTGTATTAAGTGTTTATGTAAAACATGAGGATATTCAAGAAGCTATTAAAGCTATTTAATTATTTAAAACTGTTAAAGAAACACTATAGAAAATATTTGAGAAACTCTTAATAATACACCCGGGGTTTTTTTGAGGTAGAAATCCTAAGGGTGCTTGGACTGTGGAAGCATCATGCTGTTACTGGTGATTATTTTGGCATCAGTAAAATAAATGTGTGTATGTTTTTAAAACACAAGGATGTTAAAATTCAGTCCACTCTGTTTGCCTTCTTCCATGAATGAAGTTCCTGTTTATTTTCAAGTATTTTTTAGAAATGACACTAAGTTTAATATTAGCCTATGTGAAAACTAAAAGTTAAACCATGAAACTCTGAAGTCAAAGTCACATTTAAATTAATCTCATTTTTAATTATTTGTAAAACTATATTGAAAGAAAGAAAAAAGAACTAACTAGTTCACTCTTCCTAGAAAAAACATAAACAACAGAGCATTTATCCAATCAACTTCCCAGAAAGTTCTACAGCCTAGAGTGAGCAATCAGAAGTCCTTTCTGTCAATCTGGAGGTAACTTTTTAATAATAACAGGATAAACAAATATTGGCTTTACTGAAATCTTGAAGTGGCATGTTTAAAGAGAGATTGTGGCTTGAATAATTCTGTTTCCCAATCATAGAGAGTTGTAGGATCTAACCAGTACCTTCACTAGAAATAGGTTGGTGCTTTGTTTTAAGCAAGTTTTAGGTTTTTCTGGACTAGATCAGAGGTCTTCAAACTTGGCCCTTTTATGACTTGTGGACTTCAACTCCCAGAATTCCTCAGCCAGGCATACTGAATACTTTTCACAGATAATATTTTGATCATTTTTTATTAAACAAGAGGAACAATTGTTAATAAATATGTGTGGGTTTCATCCTTCCAAGAATCACATCCACATGCTTCAGGCTGGACAAGTTGAAAATTATTCTTTATGACTTGATAGGAGAAGTTGTTTCAACTAGACTTATATCCAGTTGGAATCATTTCAAGATTTAATGTGAACAGTTCACTTGGTATGATAGAATGTTTTATTTTTATGGGCCAGAAGTTGGATGATTCTTGTTGAGTCCTTCATTCGGTGGCAAATGAAGATCGCACATGGTAGAATCAATAACTCTTTATTCCTCCTTCTGCTTACTCCAACAACAACAGCGAGGCTCGCAGGCCTCCTTTAAGTGTCCGGATCCTTGGACAAAACAGCAACAGTTAATGGCGCGCTTTTGCGCCTTGCACATGTGCGCAAGGCTGGTGCCTCTCAGTCTGGTCCCAGGCAGCTTGCAGAAACCCCGGGACCGCAGCAATGTCCCGAGCCTGCTTTTGCCGGCTCAGGACACAACAATTCTGTTTTAAGAAAATGGCGGCAAAGCTGCATGAATAAAAATCCTTACCTGAATTTGCTTCTGTTCAGGAAAACTTCAGCATTGAGAAGGCATATTTTTCTTGTTCTTTTCTTTTAGTTTTTCAATAAGATCTTACTGGAAGGTGTGATTTTTCACCTGCCAGTTAACCTAGACTCCTTCACAATTTGCCTTGGTTTTAATTTTTTTCCCCCTTTTAGAAATGGAACTTTAAGTTCAAAACAAATCCAAAACTGTTTGTTGGATATTGTACCGTTCCTGAATCCTGTGGCTCTCCTGATTCATTTCATTCACAGTTCATTCTGGAATGTGAATCAGCGTTATTTCCTGTCCAGCTGAAGAGCAGTTGAGGTTACCAACTAGCTTGATTAATCCTCTGCACTTCAGATATGTTGAGATAGAAAACCAAACAAAACTAGGAAGAGAGAAAAAGAGGGCGGCGGGATGGAGATTTTTTATAATTGTATTGGCTTTGTGCAGAAATTCAAATACAGCTACCTTAATATTCCCATCCTGGAGCAGGTAGTAGATGTTTTGTGAAATTGCGGTAAGAATTTGTGAAGCCAAAATGTGATAAATTTAAGCTGGTGTTGCTGGATGGCTTAAAATTCTCTACCCCTCTCTCCCACCCCCCAAAAAATTACACAGCAGAAGTTGGCAAAACTCCAGTTCCTAAAACCAACAGCTGCTCACATCCGTATGCTAATTATCACAGGGCTGGTAAATAAAAACTCCCCTGTGGGTGTAATTGCATTTGCCTGGTAGCCTTAGCTATCATGGGGGCAGAGCCAGGGAAGTGAACACAAGCAAAAGAAAACATTCCTCCAGTTTGGATTTTTCTTCTTCTGAGACTAGCTGTAGGCTGGGGTTAATCAAACACAGTTAACTCAAATCCTTAGAGGGCAGGAAAGGGAACATTTGCACGCAATTGAGAAGGCACAGCTTTGGAACAGTCACGACTTGGAGACTTTGAAAGATAAATTTCAAGCAGAATTTGTTGATTCGACTTTGGGAGCAACAAGACTGCTGTAAGTTTAGAGAAACTGCTAGAGACAGCTGGTTCAAGGATGTTTGGTGCTTCTACTCCTCCTGGAATTTAAAGGCATTCTCATCTTCTGAAGAAGCAGCATCCGTCTTTTTGAGAATGCCTGTGCTGAATAGGTTTTTCAGTGTGCTGGATAAGAGTAGGCAGTGGGGGACTGAGGAAGATCGGATGCCCTTGACTGCCGAGAGCCTGCCAGTCTGCCAACAGGGAATTTTGTCTTGGGGTTTGTCTGAGAAGTTCAGAATCATAAAGCTGATCTGGAAATCCAAAAATGAGCTTACGGAGGCAAAGAGGAGAGAAGTTCGGGAAAGTGGAGGGAGTACTAATGTTTTATCAGGTAAGATTAAAATATGCAATCAAAATGATATTAGCATGGCTCTAATAGTCTTGGCTTGCCCCTCAAAATACCTCTGGTATATTTGATTGTTTACTGCTTAAGCAAGTGATGTAGATGAACTCCGTGTATTCATTCTCCATTAGGGGATAAAAGCCTTGAAGGCTGTGTTGTGGGTTTACCATATTTACTTAAATTATATCAGACAGCATTCAAAGTCAACTTCCTAGCTGCAGCCATCCATGAAGAATCGGTGTTTTGTGTTCTCATAAAACTTTTATCTTATGCCACTTTCCTTAAAATACTCCCTAATGCATGTAACAAGATTTCTTCTCAGTGAAAATGCATACTGTTGTGCTGTTAATTAACATGTTAAGAGATTGTTGCATAAATTTTGGATAGCATATTAAGAGCTACAAATGTCCTAAATCCTAAAGGTAACAGAATCAGCTTTGATGATTATTTCCCAGTATTGGAAGTTTGTTCCCTCCAATCAAAATCTTAATGAGCTCCAGAAACAACAAAGTTAATGAGCAAACGAAAATTTAGTAATTGGGGGATTAAATAGGAAATATAATGGGATCAAATTAATCAAATCTCTAGTAACAATATAACAAGTATGTGTTTAACTTCTTTCTGTTGCAATTACTATAGAATAATCAACATTTCCTAGATTACATTCAGTTTTTTAGTGACTTGTTTATACATGTTTGATTGTAAATTATGTCCAAACAAATACTTTGGAATAAAAATCACCTTTTCTAAATCAATGGGAATTGATTTACAAAAAGTGATTTCTATATTTGCCTAGATAAATATCTACAATGGTTTTTCTAAAATGTTTTCCTTTCCGTGGTGCTTTATTTATTTTAGATTACTATTTAATACAGAGAGGAAAAAAAAGAAAAAAATCAGAAATATTTAAAAAGTGAAATGAATCTGTATAATTAAGGAAAATGCATTCTAACTATTTCCAAAAGTGTTAATTTAGTCTACATTTTAGATGAGAAAGTATAAAATAGATGTATTTACTTTATTAGTCAGCAAAGTTATATCACAAAACTAATATTCATTTTCTTACTCTATTAATGTTATAGGTATAACTGACTTCAAGATTCAATTCATAGCATTTTTTATTAAGTCTGCTGAGTTTGGTTTTAGATAAGAACCAGCACTGTGTACAAAGTTGTATGAGTGCTGCTTTTATAGCATAATAGGTATCCACTACATGTACTCTGTATTGAATATTAACTTACCCTTGCCAAGATCATAAAACCCTTGGCTATTTCATTACCAATATAAAAACAAATGAAAGAAATAAATCTATTTTGTCCTCATCTCTTCATATTTTATGTTGTTCTATTACAATTTTTAAAAGTTAGTCACATTTTTACACAGTAGTTACATTTTTACAAGGTAGCATATTTTCAGGTATATATTTCTAAAATGTACATTTTAAGAATTTGGACCAGTGTGAAAAATATATCCATATCTGTTAGTTCCACTAATAAGTATATGCTTTTTCCCTAATGTAATTATTTCTGATGGAGAAACCACACCACGATATTCAGAAAAATACAAATACTGTAGGATAATTTTTTAATTGCACAATGGCTCAGAAATTATGAAATTGTATAGGTTCGTCTCCAAATACAAAGTGAGTCCATTTTGTTCCTTTCCTAACGTGAATAAATTTAACTGCAATATACATAGAACAGTGGTTCCCAACCTTTTCTATACCCCGCACCACTTCTGATATATTCTTGCACCCCTTACAAAAGTTCAAAATAACGGCAACGAATTATGCATATACACTATAATTTTGAAAACCCAAGTTTTTGCATCCCCTGGAATAACGTCTCATACTCCCAGGGGATGTGGGCACCCACGGTTGGGAATCTCTGACATAGAGCATACTTGTAATCCGTCAAAGATATCTAGGTGGAATCTGAACTGCATCCAGAAATGTGTCAGCCAATCAAAACCTTTCTAACTGATAGGGACAGTAGGGGTACTTCCATCACTCCATGCTCAGCTATTGGTCAATGGAGGGCAGAGTTTTCCCCTCAGTTTCTCATTAAAAAGCATACCCCCTTTTCCTTCCGCCATAAAATAGTGCAAGTGCATTGCCTGTCCCCTGATGGCACCTCTTGGGATTGAGTCTTTGCAGTTTTAGAGCTTTTATTAATTCCTGCCATTCCATCAGGTGAGTGGAGCATCCCATCTCTTCACTGACCCCACCGACTGCTTCTTGCAATACAATGGAGCAGAAGAGAGTTATACTTCCTCTAACTCTTTGATAAGTACCCAGTGACATCATTGCCCAGTGAATTAATTTGCATGAATTGAACTGAACCTGTACCTAGGAATGCTCTTGCACTGCAGAGGCCACAGGAAAAGAGAGAGAAACAGCAACCACAAAAAACATCACAAGTTACCCTGCACAGCTGTCTTCCCAATTTGTTCCTGCCCTAGTGACTTTGACAATGTCCTTTTTTTCAATTTGTAGAAGTTATATGGCTGTATATACATTCTTGGAAATGCTTTTGGAATATTTTACTGAATAGCAATACTGAGACTTGGCTTTTTGTGTGTGTTTGTTTCTACACATTAACCAAGAATATTAGGTTCTTATGAATTTTTTCAGGAATTAATCCAGAATCTGCTACTTTTGATTCTGTGCTCTCCTATTTATTGTTTAATAATATTTTTGCAGTATTTACAAAGTGTCTAAGTACAAAGCATTCCAAAAGGAATTATAAGGAGGCAATCAACATGAAGTTACAGCCAGGAAATATCATGGTGATTGGACCGTAGGTTTGCAGTCAGAAAGGAAGTTTTTTGCTGAGAGAGTAAGGAAAATGACTTGCTTTTTGAATAGGGCATCCAGAAGTCCCTTCGGAACTGATTGCAGGAAGATTGAAGAGCAACATAAAAGTTGCTGTGCTTTTCAACCACATAGGAAGAATATCTTTGAAAAATATAAGATGACATTAGGAGTGTAGCTGTCGCTTTGGAAAGACATTACTGTTTCACATGATAATGTTGAATGTGGAAGAAATGACTAGCTGGAGAGCCTTAGCCAAGCAGCTGGACTTTCACATTAGTAATCAGCATGGAGTGGAATAGCAATGGAGGAAATGATATATGTGTCTGTAGGTGCACACACACACACACATACACAACCACAAGCACAGAGACAGGCGATAAAGGATAGAAAAATGTCAAGCTCCAGAGGGGGGGGGGAAATACCATGTGCATTTGCAATCTGGAAACAATTTATATTAAAATGATGCTAAATTAGAAGGTTAGAAAGGGAGAGCAAGCTGTATATGATTTCTAAAATAATTTGGGTAGGGAGGGGACAAGGAAAACCAAACGAGATGTTAAAAGTTTTGCAGGGCAATTAGTAGTTGAAAGTTCTGCGGAATAGACCTCAGTTAGAAAGGCATTAAGCAATCCTCCATCAACCACATTTTGTGGGCAAGTGATACTGGAAAATATGGGGAGAACTACCAGGGCAGGAAAAATAATATTGCCATCTCTTCCTGTTAATTCAATAGAACAGCATTCTCTCTGGGGCCTCTAATGGCTCTTTTACGCTTGCCAGAAAAGTATATTCCAATGAACAGGAGGTGCAGTATGAGGAAGTATGGTACTTACTAAATAGTAACTTTTTATTTCCTAAGATGCTAAAAGGGTTATTGGAAAATTGGAAAAAGTTGTTGGGTTATTAGAAAAAAGTAAACATATTAGTAAATTCCAAAGCCATCAAATAACTCTGGTCACAGAGATATTTCAAGATTTTTTTTTTTTTTATGTCCAAAAGGTAGATGAATGTTTACTATAGAGTACACAGGAACAGTTCTAACTATTCAAGAATTATCAGATGCTTTCAATAAATATGATTTTATCATAATTTCCTGATTAGAATTTACAAATATCAGGACAGGTTAAGAATCACTTGGACTTGTGTATAAATTCATTCCTTTTCAAATCCTTTCTTAAGTGTAATCTTAACTTCCAACTTTTATTATTATTATTATTATTATTATTATTATTCACATATTGATCAAATCAACTATCTAAAATGATTCAAATGTGTCATCTAATCCAGCTGCCTCGCTATTGTTGAAAATATTTCTTCAACTGTGTTTCACTTGAAAAATTCTGGTGTTCTTCCTCTGTTGTAGACTGATTCCAGATCTAGCCCTTTAAATGTGCAATGTTCGTAACTGCTATTCTCCATTTCTTATTGCACATCTTAAATAATTTTCTGTGATGCAAAAGTGAATGGCTGAATTAAAATGAAAAATCTTATTAATAATCCTTTAGTGGAGGATATCCAAGGACCAATAAATCTCTCAATTCACCAGAAGAATAAGATTCATAAACAAGTTCACAGGCTTTAAAGAACTGACTAATAAAATTATTGACTGGAGAATCTGAGAACTAAGTCCAGCCATACCCCCAAAAAAGAGAACTCACATTTCAAAATATAGGTGATTGGATACTAATAAGGTAGAATTCCACTAAACTGAATTGGGGCTGGAAGGCAGAATCCATTAAGCTTATATTTAATGCAAACCAATTAAAATAATACCTCTCGAATCTATATACATCTCTATATGTTGTATTTGCAGTTTATCAAACTATAATACAAATTTGGAAACAAATTACATTTAAAATGAAAATCATAGCTCAATTCAGTTCAAAATGTAATCTGTTGAAAACTGCTTCCATATAATTCATATACAAGGAAAAATGCCTATAGAGCTATAGATATTAGTTCATTTATTTTTTTAAAATCATGCATATATGAAAATGGAAAAAAACCTGAAATATAAAAAAATCAAAAACTGGGCAAAAAAGGAAAATGCTAAGTAAAATTCTTTTTTTAATTGATCTTAGATTGCATCCATTATTTCAGCTGACATTCAGTGTTTTTAAACACAGAAAATAAAATTTGTTCATTGATTTGTTTAAATCTGGTATATTTGTCC